ACTTCAGCGGTGATAGAATTTTAACAACGCATAAAAATTTGTAAACAGGGAAATGTTTATCTTTATGCACGCACGAAATACTGTCATAAAATTTTGTTTACTGATTTTTTTAAAGTGGACGTAGGAACGACAAGTATTGAAAAATAAACAAATGACAAATGAATATGTTTTGGGTGATAATAGATATTGAAGAAGCTGAAAATGTATATACAATTATTTGGGAAACAATTATGAATGAATTATATAAAGTCCTCATTGAATCCACATTTGTAAAAAAGTTATTGCAGGTCACAGTTGGAAATATATTTTTTTACAACATTATAGATCATGCGATAATTTATAAAAATTGTCTTTATGGTTTTTTATTAAAACAATGTCACATTCATGAGCATTCATGAGCAATGAACATTTATTAAAACAATGTCACAGCCATTAAGAAAGTTGAAGAACTCATATTCCGCACAACGCCTACAGGAGTATGCTTATGTATGTATGTAGGAGGGTGACAGGGAGTGTTATGTACAAATAATTATACTGTACTGATTTACACTTATACTGATTTACCTCCCAAATTAACATGAAATTACCTCAATAAAAAATATAACTGGTTGATTTTAACTCGGTTATGACACTCGGGAAGTCCCAGGAAGAAATTATTTAAAATATATTACAATTGTCGAATGTAACCGTACCACTATATTTTAAGCTAATATACTATGGAAACCAGTATTTATGCAACATACGTGCATATCTACTTAAAACTTAGAAAGTAAACACTCCAAGAAACTGATATAATAAATGAGTTTGCACTTTATTATGTTTATTACATATTTAATAATTTAATTGCGAAAGTAATTCGACCGCTCATTCTGCTAGCTTTAGCCGCTTAACTCCTAATGATCGGTCTTAACTGATTGAATATATATTTTCAAAGGTACAGAGTAATAGGGTTCTTTATCTAGAAAAAAGAACTATTCTAGAGCCATAGAAAAATAACTATAATGATAAAAAACCGTTTAAAAACAAAACAGATAATCTTTATAAAATATCCGTTGCGTTAATGAGATGCTTACATGCGATATAACGCAAAAAAATATCTAGAAAAACATCACTAATTGTTATCCTTTTACGCAGTTGTAAACGTAATATACTCGATATTAGTTGTTTTGATTGGTCACGAGATAAAAGTTGTTTTACACAGATTCTTAATGTGTGAGCCCGATTATTGTAAAGAACACGTAGAACACTTCTTGGAATGCAACAAAATTATGTGGTTATTACAAAATTGGTTTTGGTTAAAACAAAACGGAAGTTTATTGTGGTGTTTAGGTCTACTTCTTTGAATTGTAAATATAAATTTAAATGTGAATTGGTGCAAGTAAACAAAACTAAGACACCGTCGTTGTGCTAAAACAGTACTGATCACTACATATTTTAAATTAACCTGAGAGAAGAGGCTCTTCTCGATGAATTATCCAAAAATGTGGCACAATCGTCTGCGTCTGCTGCAGATCGTCTTCGACCGCGACCAGCGAGGAGCTCGATGGTCTTCCAAAACGAGGCTTCGGAAGAACTTGATGGTATTCGTTGCATCATTACGATATAATCACAGTTGCATGTTGACCGACCCGTGGCTCAAGGTGCAATGACTGCCGTCGCCATCATAGTCCTAACCACCCCTTCCCTCATAGTTTCGACACCCCCGATGCTACACGCGAACATTAATCTCCGCGTCGACACCTTTTATGAATACCTTTACGACTATTAAATGATGCCTATAGACACTTATTCGACGTTTAAAATTTCTTTTTAGTTTGTGAATATGTTTATTGTTGGTCGGGGTTCAGTTAATTGGCTTTTGAGAAGAAAACTAATGCAAGGTTTCGAAGTTTAATTGCGTTTGTAATTAACTGTCAAGTAGATTTATCTTTGTAAAATAAGTTTTTTCGTCAAATTCTGAAAAACTAGAACGAAATGGTGTGTATCTAGTGGACACTTGGCTTAAATGCGGCGCATTCATTGACCTGGCACATCCTGCATTGACCCGGATAGCACCAACGTCGCCAGTCGCGACCGGGTCAGTCGGATGCCTCAGCCGCGGCCTTCGCAGACTCACGAAATTGAATCGTAAAAGTGTGTTAACCTATTCAGGCCTAATGCCTGAACAGGTTAACACACTTTTACAATTCGATAGATTAATTAAAAAATTAAGTAACATTCTTGGCGGAATAATATACCTAATTATAAATGCGAATATGACCTTATTGTTTGGTGTTATCTTTGTATATGCGTTGTGCAGAACAGAAAATGAATATAGTTCTAGCATCGTCTAAAGAAACTTGTTTTTTTTACGCTGTGGTAAATGCGCTGTTGTATTTAAATTGCTTCACAAAATCCGAATCCATAGAAAAAAAACTGTAATTGTACCTACTTTAAACAATTTACTTAACTACCGCATATTAATGCTATATGACAGTGAGTAACAGTAGGTCATGTTGTTCTATAATATATCACAGTACGTCATATTCGAAATGAAGATATTTTGTTAGTATAACTGTAGGCGGTCACGGCAGGGCGCGCACCGCACGTGCTTCACATTTATATCTCTATGTTTACACAGGCATTATGAAAACATATTTTATTATTGTGATAACAGTTGCTTCAGAAATACGTAGGTACGGACGTTATTTCAACGAATCTAAACGTTATTCCGTGATCTCTTTCACAAAACACACTGACTAAATTATGAATTAGAATAATTAGTGTTAACGCAGTCTACGATATTGGATCATAATCATTACTTTGTGAACCTTGTGAAAAATAAAAATAAAACACAGAAATTCACACATCATCATCATCATCATCATCATCATTCAAACACTTTAAAAGAACAAATTACAGAACAAAGAACAAAAAGAACAAAAACACAGAAATTCACACAAACACTTTAAAATTAAAGTTTGACAACTTGTTTATAGAAAGCAGTCACTTGGCCAACTCAACCAAACATATTGTTTGACAACAAAGAACCTAGTTAACTGTTTTGTCTATTTATTACTTATATTTATAGATTTTACCAACCCGTCTGGCCAGCGTGGTATAGTAGGCCAAAACCTCCTTTCTCAGGAGAGGCTTATGTCCAGCAGTGGACTATTAAAGGCTGTTGATGATAGATTTGACTACCTACTTAACAGATGCTATACGTTCTATTAAGAAAATAAGTCTAGCAATATTTCTTTCTTAGTAACCTTTTCATTTAACTTAATTTAAATGATGGTTGACGGGCCTGTTGGTCTAGTGGTTAGCGACCCTGACTGCTAAGCCGGAGGTAGTGGGTTCGATTCCCACCTAGGACAAATATTGTATGATGAGCACGGTATTTTTTAGTTGTCTGGGTGTAATTTATCTATAATATGTACAATATGTACATGTATATATATATATATATATATATATATATATGTATTTCAAAATATAAGTATGTTTATAAGCAGTCTGGTTACCATAGCACAAGCTCTGCCTAGTTTGGGATCAGATGGACGTGTGTAGGATGTGTGAGGTATATTAATATTATTCTCTTTAATTAACGTAAAAATTTGTTCTCGTGTTGATGTGCTGAAATGTAAATATCACTTGTATTGTCATAAAACTTTATAAGAAACAAGTTTTTATAGCAAAAGACAAGTCACTCCAATAAGTACATAGTTTTTTTTCATTACATATATTTGTCTTTAAAGTATGAAAAGGAGAGGAGATTGTACCGCAAGGGAGATCATGTAAAACAAACATTGGTACCGTGCAAACTTTATCCTTCAAAGCAACTTACTTGATCGTTATAGTAACGGCCACTACTGACTTGACATTATTTATAATTAAATTTATATATCTCATTGAGTCGCAATTTCTTTTCACGCTTGTCTAGATAATAAATAATATTATTAATTTCTTTATTGTAACAAAGGTGCATACAGGAGTTCCTTCCTAAGAAATGGTACAGTAAGTGCATATGATTGTATGTGTGTGTGTGTGTGTGTATTTTAATTGTTTTTAAATAACCATTACAATTTATGAATACCTACTTGATTTTACCATTCGAATTGTTGCACAGATTCTTTTCAATGTTTTATAGGTTGCCATGTAAACTTATATTACTATTGTTATCACACTGAACATGCGCAAAGTCCGCGGGTGGTTGTTATTTAACTGATAACTTAAAAGTGTCATGTCCTCCTATAATGATAATATACATACTTAAGTTCGGTCTAAAAAACCTACTGAGTGACGGCATAGATATTTAAATTTAATTCAATTTTAAGAACTCTATTTATGTAAATAACAGGGCGTAAATGTAAGTAATAACATTTTCACAACAATGGAGTACTGTTGTATGAGTATGAAAAACACAGTGTAAGTATTTAAATTGGGTACTAAATATAACTATCTTATTGTTGTAATGAATGTAATCCTCAAGTCAAGAGAAGTCAAGGCAAGTTATAAAAAAATATCGTGATAGAGCCATCCTTCCCAAGAACCACGGTCTCAATTTTTTTTTCTCCAAAAAGACAATTCCCGTATTAGGAATATATAATGTGTTGCATGTTTACAAACATGCATGAAACGGGCACAAAAGACTCAAACTCAGAACAACAATTTGTGGATCACACAGTGTCGTTCCATGTGGGGATCGAACGAATTCACAACACGCAGCGTAGTAGGAAGCGGCGTGGCGACTGCTTAAACCACTACGTCACCCGTTACATAAAACTGCAGTTTTATTCTCTAAGGCACCAGCGTCGAACTTCAAACTAAGTGCGCTGTACGCAAGGCTGTTTCCTTAGAGAATAGCACTGCTGGGGTTATTCAATTTTTTTATTGTTTTCACCGAGTGAGTGAGGTCAGCAGACGCTTAATCCCTCTAGTTTGGAGTGGGAAGGGGCAGGGGGTGCTTCGTATTCCATAAAAATTAGGGGAAAAAGAAGTAGAAGTTTCTGAGTACTTACGCGTATTGTATGATTTTCGCCTGCCACCATCGCGGTAAATTGGGCAGCTGGAACCTTTTCATTTTTTTTCGGCCCGCTTCACCTTCCCCTTGTTCATCCTCCCCCCCCTCGTCCTGAAATACTGTTTTGTTAGCATTTATTTCTAATAACTATAAAAGTTAAATTGTGTTATGTTATATATAATATAGGTATTTACACAATTTATAGGTACTAGTGGAAGATCTTTCTTTTTTTTGAAAATGTACACAGGTGGTCTGAAAAGTTTCAGACCTCAACACGAAGATGGCAACACTCGTGAATAAAAGCTAGTAAATTTTGTTGTTCATCTGGTGACAGTTACTCGCCAAAGTTTCAGCCATTTTGGAGGCGCAGTTGTTATGTAACAGTCGTTTGAGTGAGTTGATGTGAGTGTTTTTATGAAAATGGACAAAATCGAATATCGAGCTGTCATTGAATATTTGTTTTTGAAAAGCAATAAGAGATTATGTGTGGTGATGGTGATAGTGTGACTCAGTCACCATCACCATCACCAACACCCAGCATTTACCAGAGTGAAATTTTGGGCAGCTGAATTTAAACGTGGTCGTAAGAGCTTGGGAGACGATGAACGTTCGGGACGTCCAAAAACTGCAACTACCAACGAAAACATCGCCGAATTTCACCAAATGGTGCTAGACGACCGCCGAATTAAAGTGAGAGAGATAGCAGAGGTTATGAACATGTCAAAAGAAACAACAATTCAATTTCAACATTCAAAAAACAAGTCAACATTTAGACATGAGGCAGCTGTCTGGAAATTTTGAGTTGAAAAACGAGCCTCGTGGTCGGCCGGTAACTATAGTCGACAACGACGAATTGAAGGCGATAGTGGAAGCGGGTCCAACTCAATCTACGGCTGAGCTTGCTACCGGCTTTGGAGTGTGCGTCAAAACAAAATAGAAGCACTTGCACAAACATCAGCGAGACTTACGCGTCGAAGCATGCATAGTATTACTGAATCGGCATAGAAACATGGATATTCTGAATCGAATTGTTCCCTGCGATCAAAAGGAGATCAAAGTAAGCGTTCGTGTCAGTGAGTAGACCCGGGTACAGCACCTAATCAGTGCACTAACAAAAAGATTACCCATAGGAAGATGATGGCGAGTATCTGGGGGACCAGTGCTGGACTTGTACATCACAGTTTCTTACCGAATGGCACAATAGTGACGGCAGATGTCTATTTTCAAGAATTGCAAACAATGATGGAGAAGCTCTTAATTCAACTACCACGACAACGCGTGAACTCTCACTTCATGACAGACCATCGCAAAGCTACAAGGGTTACAGTTGGAAGCCCTCCGTCAACCACGGTACTCCCCGAACCTTTCCCCAACAGATTTCTACTTTACTACCATCCAGCAGACTTCTACAGTTTTAGTATTATTTCCAAACACATACCGGGAGTTTAACTTTTTTCTCCTTTTCGCCATCAGCATTTTTTTCTTCGGGTTCAGTCATTGTGATAGTGATTACCTAATGTATTTTTAAAAAACAGTGATTACTTTATTACACATCAATTTGGAATAATACTTATAATTTAAGGTTTCAATTCATTTTATTATACAATTTTTTGAACCGAAAATTAGAAAATACTTGAATTTAGTGGTCATGACATATGTATGTTTCGATCACAGATTACATAGTTATCCCTTATTATGACAGATATACAAATTCGTAGTGTCGGTATCTGTCTCTTAGTTTTTAAACTAATTGAAACTTTTTTCTACATGTTTTTGCATAGATTATAAATCATCTCTTAAGGTATAGAATCTCTATGGGTATTGTAGTATAATTTATAACCTAGGCTTGCTCTTTTTTTTATGTAAGAGGGGTAGACGAGCAGACGGGGCACCTGATGGAGAGTGAATACCGCCGCCCATGAATGCCTGCAACTCAGGACTCACATACGCGTTGCCAGCCTTTTAGGAAGGAGTACGCTCTTTTCTTGAAGGTTTCGCTCTTTTCTTTTCTGCGATTGTGAAGTCCAAAGTTAAATTTTCGAGTCGGGGTTTTACGATGTTATACCAAAGACCTCCTAAGGAGAGGCTTATGCAGTGTGTGTGAGAGCAGTGGAGTATTAAAGGCTGTTGATGATGATGATACCAAAGACAAAATAGTGTTTTTCATTTGTAGTTATGTACTTACGTGTGAGCCTTCACAGGGGTTAAAATAAAAACGACTAAAGTGCTAGTAAATAAATTGGGACCGAGTTGAATCCAGATGATCTATAACATATTTTAAATATCAACAAAAAATGTATCCGAGATATTACTGATAAGCGGCATAATAAGACCAATGGATGATGAAAACAGTTAAAAAAATGACAAAATAATAAAAACTGATAATTACGTCATCTACGGACTTAGTTTCGCTAACAAAATTTATTGTCAGCATCACACAATAAATGTGTGTTTTAAATTTTATAAACATGTAGGAGTTTACGACGTACATAAACAATGTGTAGATTCATTCGGCCGTCAAAGGATAGCCACTTCACTATTCTGACGCCAGACGCACATAAATTTATTATCCCACCGCACTACCTGCATTAAGATACTACTACCTCTATTAAAAGCGGTGTATAAGGGTAGAACCTATCCTTATAGAAGGGTATCCAAGGGTATCCTTATAGAAGGGTTCTAATTAATAAATAACCTAATTAATAAATAAATAAAGAATACATAAATAAAATATTTATATTATATACGAAGTTGATTTAATATTTTTCGATGTCATTGAGTTTCACATCTGTACTTTGAAATTGTTTGTTCATTTCTTCCCAGCGTTGGCGAATATCAGCTTCCGCTGGACCCCACATGCTGTTCGGTATACAGTTGTCGCGAATACGCTGGAAACGAAATTTTAAGTTTATCATCCATACTAATATTATAAATGCGAAAAAGTGTCTGTCTGTTTGTCTGTTACCTCTTGACGCTTGAACCGCTAAACCGATTTAGATGAAATTTGGTATAGCCATACTTTGAGTCCCGGGAAAGGATATAGGACATTTATAATAGATTTTTATAGGCTTTATAGCAGAAATCACTCTTTACTGGGGTGAAAAGAGGGGTGAAACTTTGTACGAGAAATCAATAACCGCGAAACCGATTTGTATGAAATTTGGCGTGGAGAGACTTTAGGAAAGCCACAAGCTACTTTTGACATACTCGTGAGCATCTCCATGCGTGCAAAAGCTATTAGAAAATAAAACGAGATCCATTTCAATAAAAAATAGAACAATTTTGTTTTATTCATTTTGAGTATGGTACAGTCCTGTTATGAAAATATTACAAGTAAATGTTTGGCGGCACGAATATGTAAATATTTTTAACTTTTATACTAACTCTTTCTGAATCTTGACACTCTTTTTAATGGCCTCTAAAATTGTTGATTTATATTATACGATAACAGAAAGTAAAATTAAAGCGCTACTTATTAAAGTTTGTCACTAATTAAATTTTAAATTGTAAATGGAGCAGGCTAGAGAATTTAGGGGGGATTTAAAGAGGCCAGTGCCGCCAGCAGGTGACTCATTTCTGATTAGATAACTTAACCTTAAGGGAACGTTTTAGGTAGTTAAAAGTTACGTTTGAAATAAACATACCTGTAGAAATGAACCCTTAGAATTGTAAAGCATTTTGATTGCGTGAATTGGAATGCAGACGAGTGAGATGAGAGCTACGAACCATCCAGGTAACCCTGAGACCTCTTTTAACGAGTATACTACAATAATCTGAAAGAAATATTATATTGTCAAAATACATTACAATGTCAACTTACTGTAGAGAAAAAAATTATGTAGATTATTAATAATTGTTTTTGTGTAATTGCCTTCACAGTTATATTATAATGAAGTAGTTCTCCTTGTAGGGAAACCGATACATAGCATTTATAGGGCCAATCAGAAACCGTAGTTTTATTTTTATATTCATCAGCTTCTATCAAATTAAGGCCATCCAAAAGCGACAGGTTAGAAGTATGCCTAAATCTAGAACCTCAGTGCTGGATCAATGTTTTGTATCGTATATCTGGTTATGTGTGATACTTTAGCAAGAAAACTAATGCCTGAATATAAGGCTCTGAGCTGACCTTTAATTATTCGCTCCCAAGATTGTATTACTTACAAGGAAAATGAGCTGATTTGTTTTCTAATTGGCTCCTGTTGCAGCTGAAACAGGAGGCAATAAGAAAACAAACCGATTACCGGAACAGATGTAAAAGGTACTCATGGCCTATTCGCTAGACACTTTATAGGCAATTTCGCTTACGTATTACATTCGATACGCAGTTTGTAAACCTTGAAAGTAACTTTTTTGTTCTAAGATGCTGTGAAATTGATGAAAAAAATAACAACTAATCGTAACTATACTAGCCATATAGTTACGATTAGTTGTTATTTTTGTCTTAAAATTGCTTCTATCTTGTTATTGCAATGCTAGCATTGCAATAACAAGATAGAAGCAATTTTTAATTGAAGCGTAAATCATATTGACTAAAATGAACCGACATTTTTTGTTTGACTGTCGATTTACATTTTGTCATATCATATGTAATGAATTGAAATGAAAATGTATAAATATATATATTTATAAATTTTCTTGCAATCAGCTGCTGATGCAGAGGTGTACATGGCATATATTTAAAATAAAAGTATTATATCTTAAATCAATAGCAATGTGTTGCATAAAAATGTGTGTACTCGTATGTTCATATTTGTTATAAAACACATTGCTATTGCCTTTATTATTTAGCTATTTGTATGTTTATTTGTAGGAGACTATTCTAATCCGTGAATAGCTTGGGTAAAAAAACCTAATTGACCAGATCGCCAGATATGAGATAGACAGGCGTCATTTCAGTGTTTATTTAGTGTTTATTCAGATTCAGTGTTTATTTTACCATTATTGATTTTATACATAATCAATATATTTTATCATATTTTTTTCAATTTAACTCTATTGACTTGATATTTTATAATTTAAATTATAACGCCTGTATAGCAAACGCCTAACAAAAAGCTCTAGATTCCTCACGCCGTTTTTTATGATATAAAGAGCGAACGAGCACAAGTGTCACCTAATGGATGTGGAAGTGACTTTTGTCGCCTATAGACCTGCAACGCAAGAGGCAAAGGTGCGTTGCCGTTCTATCAATTACTGTGTGGTCGTCAGGTATTAAAAGTAGTTCTGACAAATGATGAAAAATGAATCATTATGATCTTACACATTATAATTAATAACAATAACTTCACTATTACTGAACTTGGCAGAACCTATACTATGGTAACCAGATTACTGGTAAACATACTTATATTTTTCTAAATACATACTTATCAACGTTGGCCATTGTATGCGGGCAGCACAGGACCGGTTGTTGTGGCGAACATTGGAGGAGGCCTATGTCCACCAGTGGACGTCTTTTGGCTGAGATGATGATGATGATAAATATCATAGATAAATTTCACTCAGACACAACAAATGATCGTACTCATAATATAATTATTTGTTCTGGGTGGGAATCGAGCCCACGTCCTCCGGCTTAGCAGTTAGGGTCAAAAGCCATTAGCCCAACAGGCCAGTAAGTTGTCACCTGGCATATCAGCTTATTACAGTTTTATTGAGGTAAATAAATATGGAACTATTAATTGAAAGCGAGTGGATCTTACCACTAATATCATAGGCACGATATATCTCCACAATATTATCCATAAGCGTCCCAGTGGTTGTCCAGTCATAAATAACACATCAGCAGAAAGCCTCTTTGGTCCGTAAGTGTACAATGCAGCAAAGATCTCAAGACCACAAACAATGGGCACGCACGCCAGCGCAACGTGGGAGTCCAGGAGAGATATTACGTGAAGACCACCCTGTGCATTTATTATTAATTAACACTGAGCTGTTAAAAATACTGTAGTATGTTATATAAGGATCTCTGAAAACAAAACATATTATAACGTAAAAGACTAAAAAGAAATTTTAAAACAGCAAAATGAAGTCTCAAATCACACACTGTGTACAGTAGATTTAAAAGTTAGTGAATATTGAAAAGCTCTAATTGAGATCGAGACTTAGAGACTTCCTAGGCTATCGATAGACTTGTAATTCGTGTAAGTTAATTAAATCAATAATTTTAACAGTTTAATTAAGTGCAAAATTTAAGTCAATTAAGAATTAGAAAGCATTAAATATAGATTACGAAGGAAAATAAATAAACAAGAACAGAATATGCCAAAATAAATACCGGATATCTTCTTATCGTATAATACAACCTAATAGGGTTTTAACAACTTAACAAAGAAAAACAAGTCGTAAAACACTCCGGTTCAATTAATATCACGATATAATTCACAAAGCCGCTTCTATCACATCGAACGACCGCGCTCGCTGTCATGCACGTGAAACTTTCAAGCGCTCTAGTCACGCGAACAGCTCATTCAATTGGAGCTTGCGAATTGCACCACTATCTACTAGATAGCTGAATATTACTGAGCAGATTTTATAGACAAGTGAAACAATGTATGGCATATTAGAATAACTATCAAATACGTGGTAGTTGTTACGATGACGATTTCTAGACATTTTAGGCCTGTATTTTTTCAGTATCTGTTCAGCAGTGTATCATTGCATACTTTTACAAAATAAGTGGTATAATATGACATAATAACATACCATAGGCTTATTTGTAATGTTTTTTCTACACAAAAAAAGACTCATAAGTTACTGGCAAATTAAATTAAATATTCAGAATCAATGTTTTTTAAAAGACACCATTAACTTTTTCAGAAACGGTAAGAGTCATGCTCTAGAAAGAAGTGTATAAAATAACTTTAACTTGTTAATTCATACTTGCCTCAGTATTGCAGATGATGGACAGTAAGAAAAGCACAAAACACGTCAGAAAAGTGATAAGCTTTTTACGAGAACTCAATACCGGAAATTCATCTAATATACCGGCAATTACAGCTTCTATTGTCACGAACTGAAATATTAACAAATAGTAAGTACTTAGTAACAAAACCAACAAATAATATTTTTGCAGTAAAAGATTTTAATGAAACCAAAAAAATATGGGTATAACTGCACAAGAAAGCGCATTTTATCTGTAGGGAAATTGAAAGATGTGGCCAAATACCATTTCACCTTGTGTAATGATCATTTTTAGGGTTCCGTACCACAAAACGGTAAAAAAGCAACCCTTATAAGATCACTTTCTTGTCCGTCTGTTGGTCGGTCTGTCTGTCCGTGTGTCCGCACCGATTGTCTCAGAAACGGGTAGACCTAGCAAGTTAAAATTTATACCAGATACTAAGGTCTATGGTCCCTATTAGGTGTATAAAAAACAAGGTCCTGAGTCAACTCGATAAAAAGATATGGGCAAATTTCGATTTTCGCGAAAACTTGTAAGTACCAAAATTTACCTTAATTTTCAACTTTTTTATTTTTAAGAATTTTCTCTTTACTTGTGCTGTAAGACCTTGCTTTTAACTAAAATTGACAATTCTAGGTCACCCGGAAGTACCCTAGGTTTTGGGTCGAAAACCTGGTAGTTCCCGTTGACCTAGAATCACGAAATTTGGCAAAAAGAAACGTCTTACAGCACAAATAAAGGAATTCCAAAACATAAAAAAAAGTTGAAAATTAAGATTTACTTTATTAAAACTGTATATTCTGTATAAAAAATAGTAAGGAATACAAATTTTTACTTGTGCCATACTTATTCTATTTAAAAAAAAAAATTGACCATAGGAAAGTACCCTAACACATATTTAGCTCCACTCACAATGCAATGAAACCCATTATAGTTTATGGCAAAACAATAATATTAAACAGTTTTTATACATACTTCTTTCCTGTCATAAATATCGTATCATAAAATTAGAGCGTAAAAAAACCATAAATCATTCTTTGCTCGGAAGTTTCTCATGAAAAAATTCTGAATATATTTTAAGATAAAATGCTTTTAAGTTCTTATTAAATTACGCTTCCTTTTAGCCTAAAGTCTGATCTTTGTCGACTTTACTGTTGCTATTCTGCTACCGAACATATTATAACAGTTCATAGGTACGAGTACATGTACATTGTACATAATGATGCGCATAAATGTTGAAATGGCGAAACGATAGAAATGCGCAACCTTTGTGACTAAACTAGACTAACGCACAGTTTAAACATTGTATTAAATTTGGCGTCTTCGAGACATGAGTTATTTTAGCTTAATAATGAAATCCTGAAAGGATGGCGAAATAAAGACAGGTAAGTATTCTCTCTTCGCAGTTGTATTACTATTATAGAATTGTATTGCTATTATAATATTATGTATTATTATTATACAACAATTTGTGGTTCACACAAAGTGATGTCCTATGTGGGGATCGAACCCACAACACTTAGCGCAGTAGGAAGCGGCGAGATAACCGCTTAAACCACTACGCCATCCGTATGAAATCCGTAGAAATTCATAGTATATTTGATCATTTTCCTGTTGTGTCTTGCTTCAACTATATTACAACTAATAAAAGTAAGTACCATTGAATCTATTCCGAGAAAGAATAGCATAACAAAAAAGGTAACAGCCCAAAAATTGGAAGCAGGCATCATAGTGACAGCCGCAGGGTAAGTGACATATGCAAGTCCAGGCCCTGCCGTGGCCACCTCACCCACGGGTACTCCTGCTCGATCGGCTGCAAATCCCAGAACAGAGAATACCACAAAACCTCCCCAAATACTCGTTCCACTATTCACAAGCGGGATTATTATAGAAGACCTGAAATGATGAATATAGAAAAAACTGTCAATTTAAGTTGTAAACAGTTATACTTTTTTTTACAAAAAATAGCCCTATGCAATTACTACAAAGCTAATGCTAATTACGTATATAATGATTTCGTAGGTTTGTATGTAGAAAATTAGGATCATAGACTCAGACCTGAAGTTTCTATAGTTGAATTTATTAAAACTAGCCATACTCAGCAAACCACCCCAACCTGGACCCAAAGAATAAAACAGCTGTGTAGCCGCATCTGCCCATACCTGTGCCAAAAAACTACAATGAAAATATCACCAAAATTAGATTATAAGTCAGTATAAAACATAATACTATACATACTTTCGGCTTTTTCAAATGATCCCATTCCGGTATGATATAGAATTTGATACCCTTCCAAGCACCGGGTAACGTGACGCCACGGATGAATAATACAGTCAGAACCAGATAAGGAAAGATCACAGTGAAGTAAACGATCTGCACATTAAAAATACACACATTTTCAAGAAAAGAGTACGTGACTGACAAAACGGCATCATGCCAAGAAAGATCAATTGAGCATATTTTCGAAAACTCACCTTTCCAACGCTCTTGACACCATTGCAGATGCTGAGGTACACAATAATCCAACAAATTACATTACAAATGAATATAGGCCATACAATTGTACCGATCTGGTTGATGCTGGGAGACATTTGTAGCAGGCGGATGCTAAAATAAACATATTGCTTTTATGTCAAGACATTTTGGCCTAAAATGAGATTGAATCAATGCACATGTTTTGTTTTCACTGGGTCTTAAAAATATGTACTAAAATGTATTAGATTGCAGTGTATGCCACATCGGAGGACAGTAAACCAAACCGAATAGATTCTAATAACAAACAAATCATGTATATATGTATATATAAAATTATAATCAAAACCTTTTTAAGATCAACTCCATAGATAGTGAAAAGATATTATAGTACAAACTTCCGTTAAAATAAGCGGTCGATTGAATTAATTTTAAATGCGATAGGATCAATGTCATAAGCAGGTTTAGGGGGCAAAGAAGCGGGCAGGGGTTAATCAAACAAACAAGGCCTTATGGCAACTCTCAATAGAAAAGAAAATCACAAACATATGATTATGAATTGTCTTGTTAGTACCTACCCGCCGCAGTTGATAATGGTTGTCAAATATATAATCAGTTTAAGCAGTAACCAATAAACCTTACGAACAGTTTATTGTGCTGCTAGAGTAGAATTTCTTTATGATTTTATGAAATTACTAGCCAACCCGACAAACGTTGTTTGGCCATATACATTATTGTTGTATGTATTTTTCAATGCTAAATCATAATAAAATAAAATAAAAATGTCAAAAATAAAAATAAATGTTAAAAATAGATGTTGGCTGATTCTCAGATCTACCCGATATGCACACAAAATTTCATAAAAACCGGTCCAGCCGTTTCGGAGGAGTTCGGTAACAAATACCGCGACACGAGAATTTTATATATTAGATGATGTTCAAGTGTTAAAAGCTCTATGTAAGTGACTAATGAATTTTCCAAAAGTGCATAAATTAAGTTACTTTATTTAATGTAGTGCGCTCACAATAGATCTCATTACTGGTATTTCAAATCTTTTTTAGAATTATTCTAAAGAGATGGTACTTTTTTATGAAAAACATGATAGGAAGTTTTTATGTCGATAAACTGAAAAGGAAAGCGGAAACACGGTACATGCACGGAATCTAGCCGCCTGAGGGATCTAGCCTCACGGTAGGAGGCACTCGCATCGGCATCGAGCCCTCGATCAGGTATCTGGGGCTCGTACTCGATGGCCGATGGGACTTCGGATATCATTTCCGAGGGCGCAGTGCGTGCGTTGTCGCTGATGCTGCCCAACATGAAGGGACCCGATGACTCCTGCAGGAGACTCTTCTCGGGGGTTGTGCGGTTCATGGCCCTTTACGGGTGCCCAGTATGGGCGGGGGCCCTGAAGGCCAGCAACGTCGCGATACTGCGACGACCGCAGCGAGTGCCGCACGATCTCCTTTGAGGCGGCGAGTCTCCTGGCCGGAACTCCACCGTGGGACCTGGAGGCGAGAGCCCTTGCGGCTCTGTATCAGTGGCGCAAGGAGGCGCGGGAGTTGGGTCGGTGTTCCGAGATTCGAGAAATCGATGACCGGAAATCTCAACTCCGCCAGGTGATCATAGGGGAGTGGAGGGAACGACTCGGGAAACCGAGCGCCGGGCACGCCGTCATCGCGGCGGTAAGACCCGTTATGGAGGATTGGCTCGAGAGGCTTCACGGGACCCTCTCATACCGACTGACGCAGGTGATCACTGGGGAAGGATGTTTCGGGGATCACCTGTGTCTGATCCGCAAGGAGCCAACGCCTGAGTGCCACCACTGCGATTGCCAGACCGTGGACACGGCTCTCCACACGCTGGCAGAGTGCCCGGCGTTGGTTGAGCAGAGGCGAGACCTCGTGGCGGCCATCGGAGTGGGAGTTCGCAATCAGGCTATCGAGCGAGAGTGCGTGGAACTCTGCCGTCTCCTCCTGCGACCAAGTTATGCTCGCGAAGGAGACGGTGGAGCGGGACCGGGAGAGGTTTAGAACTCTCCCGGCTCGCCAGGCCCGGGAACGGGCTAGGTACCGCAGGTGACTCAGGCGCCGGGGGTCGCAGAACGACCTCCGTCCTCCATAAGCGCAGGCCTGGGGGTGACAGGTGAGGCCATCTGTCACCCTAGCAGAAGCAGGCCGGGGTGGCGGCGAGCGCGTTCGCTTCCAGGGAGCAGAGGGAACATGGGGTTCCCACACGGGGGGTCGTCTACTTGTTGTAGATGGCCCGAGGTATGTCGGGGCACCAGGGACTTCCTTTCTAGGGTATACCTGGTTTCCCGGCTATTAGTACCCGAGACGGCTGCGGTTTTAGTCGGTTCGAGTCCGACATGCCACCGATAGGTGGTATCCGAGGGGATTTCCGCACGGAAAAAAAAAAAATAGGCAAAAGTGTCATAGCTTCCAAAAACGTAATGTGTGTATACATCTTTCTCCTGGAATCTATTCTCTAAACTTTTATAGAGTGACAAAAAGGTAGCGGTGATAAAAGTATGACCACGTGTCTGCTTTACGTTGTCAACTACGATGGTTGCCTCTCTTTTTTCATTTCTCAACTCCCCATTCTCACCCACTTACCTTGATCCCTATCTGCGTTTCCTATCCCCTGTGTCCCTCCCATAATTCTGACTTCGTGAACTCTTCGTTCTTTATGCAAGCAATACTGCTCTGGAATGCGCTGTCACTCGAAATCACGATGTCCGCAAACCGTTACACATTAAAAAAAATGTACATAATTACCGTTTTGAGTAAGCGGAGTTACCTATTCAATAGTGTGCCTCTCTATTTACAGTGTACGAAAATAAAGTAAATGTATTTATGTGTATTTATATGTATATCTGTGCTTGTATGTATGTATATTTGTGTATGTATGTGTAACTGTATATGTTAGTTGAAACTCTACAACTAATATCACAACTGTAGCCTGAGTGCACCTACCTTACCGGATTTCTACACCACTCAAAGGTTGGCTGGCAGAGAATGCCTTGGGCATTAAGTCCGCCGATGTGAACACTTGTGTACAATTGCATAAAGTTGTAAGTAAATAAAAGTCATCCGAGTGTGACAACTTTTACAAGTAGAAATAACCTTCAACTATAGTCCATCAACGTCGTGCGCGACCGTCCTGCGGGGTGACGGACGGTCGCGCACGAGATTGCCGGGTTATAACTAGTATGGAGTGGGTGCTGGTATGCCAAAAAGATAAGAATAAGAAACATGAAAATGTTACTATATCTATTTATAGGTGCATGTTATTAAAAAAAGTCTTACTGAAAAAATTCATCCTCTGGTGTAGTGATTGATCCGTTTGATGTGAAAAAACTGGAATTACTTCTTATCTGAAAATAGTTTCATCATGTAGAAGGATCTAATCGATATTTATAACTAGTTGCTTAATCTATTAAATCTAAAATTATCTAACCTCGGTACATTTGTCGGTATTCCAGGAATTACCACAATTCTGCCAAGGCAAAGGTGAGCTCATTGAGTGATAGATGTAGAGAACTGGATAGGACATAATAGTCGCAAAGTATGTTATAGCTATTACGTTCAAAAGAATGGCTGCGTAACCGGCTCCTGTGAAAATCAAATTCAATATTGTAATAAGATCAGAGTATTAAATTAATGTTTTAATGAGGCTCTTTTTCAGTGTACTGAAAACAGGGATGATGAATATCGAATAATATTCATACACATAACCCTTTGCAATGCACTTTCAAACCTTCACTTCATGTAAAATTTCATCCGATTGGAAAGAAAAACAAGAATTGATTGATGTAACTAATTTAAAGTTTATACACTTAATACGAGTATATACTCGTATTTCAAAGCGTCACTGGAACGTAACATGCCAAGTCTTGATTGAAACTCATCACGTTATTAAGCAAATAAAGAGGAACGCCTGGCAACAGTGATTAATATCCCCATATTAGAATAATACAAGCAGGTTTATATTATATACATATTGACATAATTCATATCTATAGGGTTGACTTGTGGCGTCTGGTTTATATATATATAAATATGATACCGCAAGGTGGCCTTGTTCTTTGTTTACCCAGAATAATTTGTCTTTTTTACTTGTGCACATAATATAAAAATCAAATCTGTTGTGACGGTTGAGCTATTGGTTTTTTAATAGACTTTAATATCTATCATTGTAATTGATCAATTACCTACTATGCTATTATGTATAAATAATGTATATAAAAAGTTGATGCAGTTTACAGTTTACAATATCTAGATATCTGATTGATTATCTCTTAACTTAAGCGTATGTTGCCCATTTTCCCCAATCGTGCATATTTTGACTTGCAAACGGTAAGTTTTACCATGCATAGTGCATGTTCTCCATTCTTTTCACTGGTAAACTGATGCCATATAAAAATTGGGAACGAGAAAGACCTCTGTTCAGATCAATAAAAAAACGACGGCCTTCATAGTTTAATATAACAAAGATAGAAACCCACGTTCTTCTGGTAAGTATAAACATATCATAAGTAAACAAGATTTATATTTCATCAACCAATTTCTGTAATATATCTTACCTTTAAGGAGTGGATTTAGGTTAAATACAGAAACACATCCTGCACTAGCAAATTGTCCCAGAGTTGTTTCTAAGTAAACCAGTGGAATACCGCATATAAATAATGTAAGAAAATATGGAATAAGGAATGCTCCTGAAATCAGAAAAGATATTGCAGATATAAAATAGTAATGTTAAATTCTTCAGAAGCAATGAAGATACGATAGGCTGATCAATCATTCTATCGTATCGATCATCTTCAGTGATTAATTATTGATCATAGATGTACCTACATTATTTATTTAATATATTATATATTCCAAATATGTATGGGTATGTGTATAAATGCATGTGTATTTGTATTTGTGCAATGTCCATAGATGTATATTTGTGTATCAATGTGTTTGTTTATGTTTATAAATATTTTTAAATATTCACGTGATAATGTGTTACGTGTATGTCTAGGTACTACCCTAAACTGTTAAATACCTAAAATCCGTATTAAGGTTGTCTGGAAGAGATCTCTGTTAGCGATAAGACCATTGAATTTTACGTCTACTTATTTGTAACTCATCTTTTGTTATTTTCTATTTAAGTGTATACAATAAAGATATAAATAAATTAATTTATTAGGTATTTAATTAAAGAAGGTAGAGAAACTCACCTCCGCCATTCCGATAGCATAAATAAGGGAATCTCCAAATGTTTCCTATACCAACCGCGTATCCGAGGCAAGACAAAAGATATTCCACCTGACTGCCCCATTGTTCTCGTTGTCCCCCAGCCATTCACAAATAATTAATTCGCACTAACGATTCTACTCTTTACGAAAAGTATTCGTATTTTCTTTTAGATCATCAAACTAATGCTGTATAGAAACAACAGACATGTTATATTCGCTTAATCCGGACTATTGCGACTGGCGCCGTGATTGGTCGGAAACTACAATCCTTAGGGGCCTGGCCCGGTCCAGTTGTTATTTCCACTCCTCTGATAATAGGATAATAGGCTCAGTGAATCGTTCAACACTGTTCAACAGATTGAAAGTAGTTGCTTATGTAAAAATTAGAATCAAAATGAATAGGGAATCAGCTTTGATAGTTTGCAAGCACTTGCACGCAAGAAGTTTATTTTTCTTTTCTTTTATAAGACCTCTCTCGTAGGATTAAATCCTGTGTCGAGGGAGAACTTTACGAACATACATGAAAAGGATACAAAGAACACCCAGACTCAGAACAACAATTTGTGGATGTGGTTGAGTGATCGTAGTGTTACCACAACACATCAACAAATATTTGAGAATGACATATACAAATGTAATCTACTAGTTAATCCAGAAGCTGTAACACGATGCTATTGCACTAGGAGCTCGTCGCTAGTACATGTCAACCGCTCACACCACGTTGCGGACTCGTGCCGCCAGATGTCATTTTCTTTTTTTTTACGTGTGGAAACCCCTTCGCGCTGCGCGCCACTCGTCGGGCGGGGGCGGACTTCCGCTAACCGCCCGGAATTCAGTCGTCCGCCGATGCACTTCGGCGAGCACTTCCGCCTCCAAATCCTACAGCCACGGCCAACGCGCATGCTGCCTCCGTCGACACGGTGCGGTAACCGCGTACGGCTCTAACCGCCAATACTCTATGTGGACGCCAAAGGCGTGCTCTAGTTAGGACCGGACAACCCTCGTGTACAGCCGTCTCGTTACGACGCTGGGTCCACCCAGATTAGGCAAAGGTCGCCCAAGGGCAGACGAGCTTTGGAGCAAGCTGTGGGAAGTCCTTGTCGAAGAACCACCTCCCATCGAGGATCAAGCTCAGATACTTTATCGGTGCCTGAACCGGTACGAAGACCGAGTTGACAACGATTGAGGCGCCAGAGGGAGGACCACGACGGGGCCCTGGGACTAATCCCACCCACACGCCCACCACTGTAACTCCTGTACACCAGGATCCACAGCAGTGACCCACGAACACACCGAGTTATGACACTCGGGAAGTCCCAGGAAGAAATTAAACTGTCTTGGAACCCGCAACGAAATTAATCAGAAGAAAATTGGAGGAGTTGGAAATACAGTAAATCCACTTCCCTCCTTAGCAAAGCGGGAGACAAAATGAAGTAAAATAGGCATACACCCTTTTAAACAGGGAAGCACCACGGCCACAAAATATTACGGGTCCTACGTGAGCTATATTTGATTTCTATAATATGTATGGCAGAATCGCCTAAACGCACGGAAATTCACCCTAGTTGACACAAGATCCCCATAGTATACCGCCCCAGATGTCACCTGCAAGCTATTCAGCATTATATTACGTTCATTATACCAAAGACTACATTCCCAGAGGATATGATGAGCAGATTGTTCATAATGAATAGAATAGAATAGAATAGAATACCAGTTTATTGATTTTATTGATTTTTTGTTTAATGAGAGTTAGGTGTTGAGCATTGACACAATGGTGACTCGACTAATTTAAATGAATACAACTTGCTCTTTAAGTTACCATGGCCCGTAAGAAATTGAGCGACACAGTGATCCACCTCCAGCCATGTCCTCGATAACCGTTCGCGAACAGATGGAAAGAATTGGTAAAGATGGCGCCCCTTGGATGATTCGTCCCAGCGTTGCTGCCATTCGTCTATGAGGTCATTATAGACATCGGACTGCTGTTGAAGCAATCTTGTAATTTTACCGCGATCCTGCGCGCCCAAAAAATCGCATTCCATGTTTTGTCTTGAATAGTACATGGCTGCACGTCTCTGCACCTCGAGATCGACCGGAAGCACACCCGCCAACACCGGCAAAGCCTCAGTGCTAACCGTCCTATATGCCTTGCACAAAAATAACAGTGCAAGTCGTTGGCCTTGTAACAGTTTGCGACGGACAGCGCCTACGGTCACCCTATCGGCCCATACAGGTGCACCATAGCACATAGAACCTTTTTTTTTTTTTTTTTTTTCCCGTGCGGAAATCCCCTCGGATACCACCTGTCGGTGGCATGTCGGACTCGAACCGACTAAAACCGCACGCCTTCGCCGGGTACTAATAGCCGGGGAACCAGGTATACCCTAGAAAGGAAGGCCCTGGTGCCCCGACATACCTCGGGTCATCTACAGACGAGTAGACGACCCCCGCCCCGTGTGGGAACCCCATGTTCCCTGTGCTCCCTGGAAGCGAGCGCGCTTCGCAACGCGCTCGCCGCCACCCCGGCCTGCTTCTGCTAGGGTGACAGATGGCCTCACCTGTCACCCCCAGGCCTGCGCTTATGGAGGACGGAGGTCGTTCTGCGACCTCCGGCGCCTGAGTCGCCTGCGCTGCCTGGCCCGTGCCCGGGCCTGGCGGGCCGGGAGAGTTCTAAACCTCTCCCGGTCCCGCTCCGTCGTCTCCTTCGCGAGCATAACTTGCTCGCAGAAGGAGACGGCAGAGTTCCACGCACTCTCGCTCCGCACGATAGCCGCGATCAGGCTATCGAGCGAGAGAACTCCCACTCCGATGGCCGCCACGAGGTCTCGCCTCTGCTCAACCCACGCCGGGCACTCTGCCAGCGTGTGGAGAGCCGTGTCCACGGTCTGGCCATCGCAGTGGTGGCACTCAGGCGTTGGCTCCTTGCGGATCAGACACAGGTGATCTCCGAAACATCCCTTCCCAGTGATCACCTGCGTCAATCGGTATGAGAGGGTCCCGTGACGCCTCTCGAGCCAATCCTCCATAACGGGTCTTACCGCCGCAATGACGGCGTGCCCGGCGCTCGGTTGCCCGAGTCGTTCCCTCCACTCCCCTATGATGACCTGGCGGAGTTGGGATTTCCGGTCCTCGATTTCTCGAGTCTCGGGGCATCGACCCAACTCCTGCGCCTCCTTGCGCCACTGATACAGTGCCGCAAGGGCTCTCGCCTCCAGGTCCCACGGTGGAGTTCCGGCCAGGAGACTCGCTGCCTCAAAGGAGATCGTGCGGTACCCCCTTATGATCCTGATGGCCAGCATTCGCTGCGGTCGCCGCAGTATCGCGACGTTGCTGGCCTTCAGGGCCCCCGCCCATACTGGGCACCCGTAAAGGGCCATGGACCGCACAACCCCCGAGTAGAGTCTCCGGCAGGAGTCATCGGGTCCCTTCATGTTGGGCAGCAGCCGCGCCAACGCACGCGCTGCCCCAACCAACTTGGGGACCAGACCTCGGAAATGATATCCGAAGTCCCATCGGCCATCGAGTACGAGCCCCAGATACCTGATCGAGGGCTCGATGCCGATGCGAGTGCCTCCTACCGTGAGGCTAGATCCCTCAGGCGGCCTCCTCCGAAGCCCGTGGAAGAACAGGGCCTCGGACTTGTGCAGAGCCACCTCGAGACCCAGCCGCCGGATACGCTCAACGACTTGGGCAACCCCGGCCGTGGCCCTCAGGGTTGCCTCGTGGTGCGTCTTGCCGCGCGCCGTCACGAGTGTGTCGTCCGCGTAGCACACGACGGCGACACCATCCAAGAAGGTACCACGAAGCACCCAGTCGTAGCCGATGTTCCACAAGAGTGGCCCTAACACCGACCCCTGCGGAACACCGCACGACATTTCACGCCTACCGAGACCGGTCCTACTGGGGTAGACGACGGCTCTCTCCGACAAATATGCCCCGACTATGCGGCGGAGGTAGAGAGGCACTTCGTGATACACGAGCGCCTCCCTGATGCAGCTCCAGGGCATAGTGTTGAACGCGTTGGCGATGTCCAAGGACACCGCCAACACCACTTCGCCCCGGGAGACTGCTTCCTCCGCCAGAGCCTTCACGCGCATGATCGCATCCACGGTGGAGCGCCCCTGACGGAAACCGTACTGGTTGTCCGCCAGATCCGGCCCAACCATCACGAGATGCTTGACGAGGCGCCTTGCAATCACTCTTTCAAAGAGCTTGCACACCTCGTCAAGCAACACTATGGGCCGGTAGGCGGACGGTGAGTCCGCCGGGCGCCCCTCCTTTCGGATGAGGACCAGTTTCCCCGTCCTCCACAATTTCGGAAACTGGCCCCGCTCGAGGCATGCGCTGAAGAACCCTCGCAGTCGGGGCTCGAGAGCCTCGTCGACTAAGGCCAGGACCCACGCTCGGCCAGGAATGCCATCGGGTCCCGGGGCGGTGTTTTTGGCTTTAAGCCGTAACACCGCCACCCTTAGTTCCACCCCAGTGACCTCAGGCACGTCGTCGTCATCCACGTTAGGCGCCTCAAGCGCCGGAGGCGGAGCCATCTGTGGCGGAGTATGCTCCACCACTCGCGTTGGGAACAGGGAGCCAACGACCCTCTCAAGCAGCTCTGGCTGAAGACACCGTGTGAGCGGCGGGGCCCATGGGCGCATCTTGCCCCTAACCATACGGTAGGGGCGTCCCCACGGATCCCGCTCCAGTGTCTCCAGCATCTCGCGGCGGGCCTCGCTCTTGGCCCGCTTTATCGCTGCCTGAAGGGTCCTCTTGGCAACCCTGTAACCCGCTAACAGCTCCGCCTCTCTCGCTGCCGCATCTTCGGGGCGGCGACGCCTCCTGCGGAACCTGGACCACTGGCGGCGCGCGGTCACGCAGGCTTGACGCAGCCGTGCGATCTCCGGCGACCACCAGTAGACCTGGCGCCTCGCAGTATTGGGCTGAGCCCTAGGCATCGCCGCATCGCAGACGCGGGTCATGGCCTCCCGGAACCACTGTGCCTCATCATCGACGTCGACAGGCCTGTCCGGCGCAGGAGCCCAGGCCTGTACGATGGCGGCTTCCAGGAGGAGGTCGCGATCTAAGCGCTTGAGCGCCCAACGTGGTTCA